GGAATCCAGGCGCCTTAACCACCGTGCCACTGGCTGGCCCGAGATCTTGCACTATTTGATTATCTCTTACATCTTTTTCTCTCATGAGGGATGAGCTTGTTTAAAAACTAATGTTGGATTCTCCTTTACCTCAGAATCCTAGCTCATGCCATTTCTTCTTCTTGAAGCAACTTTCCTATTTCTTCCCCTTCATCTACATAATTCCTACTTATTCTTCAGATCTTCACTTAGATGTTATTTATTAAGATATGGCTTTGCTGACTTTCCATTCCCACACCATGGTAGAACCTATTGGACTTCCTTTTTTATGACTCTCACTTGTAATTACTTGATTTATGCTGGTCTTGCTCACAAGATAGACATGGTGTCTGTCCTCACGGAGTCTTATTGACTGCTATACCTCCAATACTTAGCATATATAGTATCTGGTACATTAAAGACATTACATATTTGTTGCTGAGTAAAATACTTCAAATTCATTCATATATTTTGTAAAATGTAGCATTTAAAAAGTGTTCTCATTTTCTTCAGAGATTTTAATTTTTTTTTTCCTAATAGCCATTGCCATCTTTGTTTAGGATAACATTAAATAAGAAGGGCGTTGTGGGGACCAGCAGTTGGCATAATGGTTATGTTGCTGGACTTCCATGTAGTCGAGTCCCAGACCTGGTGGCTTAAACTCACACCAGGTGTGTGTGCATGCGTGCCCAAGATCCTGAGAGGAGAATGGAGGAGAAGCGATTGCGGCATGGCCATCCCCCCTGGGGGTGATTTCTCACTTTCTGTCTCTCTGTCTCTGTCTTTCTGGCGAGTGCATGCATCCTATAGCAAAAAAACTCAAAAAAAAAAAAAAAGATAAAAAGAAGAGCATTGTGACATTTAAGAACATTTTTGTTCTTAAAATTCTTATAATTTCTTATGATTCTGATCTTATAATTTAAATAGATGTCTTGAACATAGATAATTCTCAATTACTATTTCATAGTCATGAAAATCCTATAATGTGAAAAGATCCTTAGAGATCCCATATTTAAATTTTCTTAGATCATTCCTCAGAAGAAGGAAGAAAATCCAAAATATGTACTATTACTATATTATTATTATTATCATCTTTTTACTCAAACAGGGGTATCTTATGGCTGGAGACCACAAGTTGGAAAATAATCTGAAAAATTCAGAGTTCATTTCATCTTTCAATTGTGAAGGAGGATGATCATCTGTTAGTTTATATAACTACATTCTATAAATATCTTAGTTTTTCTGAGCAACCCTAAATTCATTCAGCATTCACTGAATCCTAAGTGTGTGATAGGCACTAGGCACCCAACATTACATTAACTGCACATATATGTATCATTCATACATAAATGCACAATTTATATACACATACATCCACAATTTGAGAAGAGTCAGTGAAACTAAATGACAGCTCTCTATGCACAAGTATTAGTGTTTCTTCTTATAGACTGCTTCTGCCAGCCTTGATACAAGCTTTGTTGACACATGCTCCTTTCAGTAGGAGCAGGATAATAATAAAATACATTATGGGCATAAGTACATAGGGGCTTCAGAGACCATTCTTCTCTTGGAGTCTGATTCAGATAAAGCCGGGCTAACAACCTTATCCAGCAGGCCATGGAGACAGCCCCTTTCCCAGTAAGGACAACTCAAGTCTTTACCGATGTCTCCCAAAGTAAATTTAACATTTTCTGTCTCTTTTCCAGCTGTGGATCTCCACATCAGTGCCCCAAACAACAGCCACCTCTACTTTCTTCAGTAGAGGGTAATTTAGCATATACAGCTTTTAAAATTTCTTCCTCAGGCTGGAGCTCACCAGCAAGCAAGAAGTCTCCATGGAAGATGTGTGCATAGAAGCTGTGCCTGAGGGGATGCCAGAGGGAATGTGCCAGGCTAACAAAATGTCCATTTGCAAGGCAGTCTCTGCCCTCAAGGAGTTAATGACCTGGAGATGAAAGGAACAATCAATAAGTACAGTGAGAAAAGCAGCATAGCAGGTATATAATTGCTGCTGGGTGGTGGTATACAAGATGACAGGTAAAATAGGGGTTCTGAGATTGGGCCAGAGCAGCCTGGAGTAGAGCCTAGGAATGGGCCTGCACCTGTATGAGACACAGGTAATCCAGAAGTTTTACGAGACTTCTAATGGGACTTCTTTTCGGTGGCCATTCTATGTAGACATTTTATATATACACTTTCCTAGGGCAAGACTCCATTCTGTTCATCCTTTATAGTCATGACTCCCTTTATCTGGGTAACATATGGAAGGATCTTATGTACAATGGGCAGCTGTTATAAAAGCTCTTCCAACATCACTACGAGATGGTTTCAGATCCTAGAGTCTCTGAGGTCCAGGAAGCTTGGAACCCGATGTCCTGGGTCCCAGGTGACCAAACACACGTCCAGTTTAAGAGTCCAGCAGGGGAGTGTGGTTCGGGAACCTGCTGCCGCGCATCTCTGACTGTCCTCAGCCTCTAGGCCAGCATAGTCCCAGCTCCAGCCTGCTCAGGCCATTGGCGGTCACTCCGCCCACCGCCCCTCTAGGCCTCCACCCCCGTCGTCTTTTCGCTTCCGTGCGCCTCCATTTCCGACTACGCCTCCCGCCCATTTAGGCCTTCCTCGGCTTCCGTCCCAGATGATCCCTCCCCGAGGCTCCCACCTCCTCCTCCATCTCCCGGAGCTGGAGCCGCCTCCTCCGCCACTGGCCCAGCCGACTTGGTGTCGCCAGTGGCGTAGCCGACTTGGTGTCACTGGCAGAGATAGGGGCGGAGGTCCGGAGCCCAGTCTGGACTCGAGCGGGGGCCATGGAGAAAGCGGCCCGAGGCGCCCCGCACAC